CAAACAAGAGGAAGAGGTATAAATGATATATTTCTTCCCTATATGAGTTTGAGTGAATTAGCAAATTTGGAGGTAACATCACTAACAGTGCATCTACACTGCACCCACAGATCAAAATAAGATACGCAATTTCAGCTAAGCAAATTGTGCATCTTATTTGATCTAATTTCAAAATAGCTTATTTCAAAATTTGGCGCTGTCTACACAGCACCAGATTTTGAAATAAAGTGCTATTCTGAAACATCCTTTAATCCTCATGGAACAAGAGTTACAGGTATGCCCGTTATTTTGAAATATATTTCAAAATAACGGACACATTTAAAGACACAGAATAGTTATTTTGGGATACTTTAAGTATCCCAAAATAGTATCCCAAAATAGTGCTGCTGTCTAGACGTAGCCCAACTAAACAACAGGGCAAATGTAATAATTTTGGTCTCATTTTTGTAAGCTCCTAATTTGAATATGAGCACTTAGGGTACATCTGCACAGCAGTGTTATTTTGAAATAAAGTCAGTTATTCCAAAATTACAAAGAGCAAACTACACTACAAGCCTGTATTTCAAAATAACTTTGAACTGGAGGATTTCTTACTCTGACTCATAGTAACCCTCATTTTACAAGGAGTAAGGAAGAGTGTTCTTCATTCAACTTCCTGCTGTGTAGACAGCGCCAAAAGCCAAATTAAGCTATTTTTACTTCAGCTACACAATTGATGTACCTTAAGTTGTGTAGCTTATCCCGACTTTAGGCCTGCTGTGTAGATTTCCCCTTAGAGAGGGTTGGGAAACAGAAGTTACATGCTACAGGCAATTTGAACATTTCAAAATTTGTTTAAAAAGTAAGTTTAGGTATGATTAATGTTCAGCCAGGCAGAGTGCATTTCTTTATCCATTAGTTTCTTGCCTTGCTGCTCTTTGATCAACTCCTACAAGTGTTTTAGCTGTGAAGAAGGAAATCACAGCCAATGAATCAAAATGGCACTAATGACTGATTTTTAATGGACCTCTCAACCCGCTGTGAGGAACAATTTTGAGTGATGATACTGACAAAGAATTGGTCAGATTGTAGTGGGAAATCCAAACAACAAAACTAGAAGAAAAGAATAAGCCAGAAAAGATAAGTTATGCAGTGGTGCCCAATTTAGAAAAGCATTTAATACATCCTTAACTCCTATCAACCTTAAATGAGTAAACAGATGGGAAGAAAAGAAGAGGATTGGAAGAAAGAAACAAAAAACATAGCAAAAATATGTATAAAGAGTGAAAGCCTAAAAGAATTCCAATGAAGAGGCCGTACGACTAAAATTTTGTGTTTGTTTGTTGTATTTATGCCACGTGATATAAAGTGCTCTGTTTCAGTATTACAACATCTGTTTCACTGCCTTCTCAGTACTTTGGATCCCAATAAAAACAATAACTTCATTTGAAAACAAATTTAGTTTTTCAGGATGCATTTAATCTATATTCATCCTTAGAAGCTTTCAAGTGCCTCCTACTTTCTTCCCCACAAGAAATAAAGCAATGTGAATAGCTGAGCGAAAACTCATATAGTGGGCCTCATTTTCCTCTTATACCATGGAGAAGACAGGTGTAATTAGATACAAGCACTGTAAGTTAAAGAACTTAAAAAACAACAAATAGTCTAGCAGAACGTTACAGACTAACAAAGCATGTAGATGGTATCACGAGCTTTCGAGGGCACAACCTGCTTAAGCTCATAATGCCATCTATATGTTTTGTTAGTCTTTAAGGTGCTGCTAGACTATTCTTTGTTTTTTTACATTTTTCCAGTTACAGACAAACTCGGCTACCCTTCTGAAGCTTTCGTAAATTAAAGGACAGTTGGCCTTAGGTTGTCTAGAGGATGTTATATTATTTGTTTGTTTTAAGCATGTTGCCACTTTACATTTTTAGCTATGTAATGTCACTGAAATCAGTGGCTATTTTTGTGTTCAGCAAGGCTGACAATGGATAGGGGAGATTGGCTAGTAGGTCTGTGGCTCAGAGCCTCTGCAGAAGCAAACACATACTGCCTGGCTTCTGTTGCTGCTGAGAGCAGTCAAAAGAGTTCCCCATGCCCGGAGATGTGCTGAATAATCTCTGAACACCAGTGTACACTATAAGCTGTGCACTTGGGCAGCCAGCCAAGAGAGACTCAGGAGCCACCCAGCTGACTAGCCGAGCACACCCAGCCACTCACAGGTGGCAGCATATATCTGTACTGGTGGTGCACATCCACATATGCCTCAGTGCACATAACAAAATGTATTCTGCATGTAGATGGCAAAAATGAGAGGGAACATTGCTGAGCACCCACCTCACACATACCCAGGGGAATCCTCACAAGGCTAGTCAAGCCTGAGCGAGAGCTACAAACACCTAGGCTGAATTGTATTCAAGAGCTAATAAAAACATTGAAAGATTGCACCAGAGACTGCAGAAAGCTGGTGTTTTGCTCTGTATGCAAGGGAGTATTTTTAATTTCCAAGGTGATAAAATCTAAGAGAATGGAAAGCAAAACGCTATATCCCAAATGGCATTTGTAAGTGTTTTCATTCAATGTGTATTCAAAAACTCATGTAAATGTTATAGAATGAGCACACACATTCTCACTTTGGAGTCACCTCCAATTCCTTGGCAAATCTGCTTCACTGCAGCCTTCCTGCTGGGGATAGTCCTGCCTGTCACTTTCCCTAGAAAATGGCTTACTTTTAAGTCAGGTTGAGTAGAGTAGAGCAGAGCCGTATGCCAGCACAATTTCCTATCGCTGCACCTCTGCCAAGGAGCGGTAAATGGCAGGTCCTTGCCCATCCGCTTCCTGCTGGAGGAAAAATCAGTAACACAGACATGGTCACAAAGAGCATGGATACAAATCTCTCTTTCAGAGATCTCAGACAAAGCAACCCCCCTCCCCCCCATTTCCAGTGTTGATAAATGATATAGTCAGTGGCTTTACCACACTTTGATTCTGTTTGATACCAGTCTCTGATTGCACATCGCAATGTTGCATTCGCCTTATGCAGAGGTGCTCCCCAAAGTTATATACAGTAAGCCAACTTTTCATAACCTACCTGTTCACAAGGAAAAGGTGCTGTGAACATCATTCGAAACTAGGTTTAACCAATCAACTTTCTACCTTATTTTTGTGGTTCCACGGTGTATTCCTTATGTCTTTGCTGTGAATACACGCACCAAAGGGCATGATGACACCTTCGAGGTTTGGACCAGGGTAGAACAATCATATGTCTTGTCCTCTTCCTTTGGGTCATTTTACTCCAGGCCTGCAAAGGTAATTTCCATTCTGTCGCAATAGTAATCAGTAAACAATAACCAGCACATACAGTCAACACCAGGAAGCAACCGAATACCAAGAAATTGCTGTTGTAACAGCTCCTTACAAAGAAACCACAGCGTGGACATGTGCACACACGCGCACACAAACACACACTTCTTCAAGGACTGTGCACTACAGGTTGGACCTTGCTGGTCCGGCATCCTCAGGACCTGACTGGTGCCGAAAGAGGGGATTTGCCAGGCCAGAGGAGGTCTGGGCTGCCATTGGGTTAGGGCTCCAGTCTGGCCCCAGTCCCCTGGGGCTTTCTAGATGCCACCCACCTTCTGCTGCTGGGGCTGGGGCTGGGGAAATGGCTGGAGCTCTGCAGCTGGGACAGAGCTTCACAATTGCCTGGCTCGGCAGCTGGGGCTGCACCTCCCTGGCTACAGCTGGGACTAGAGCCCCACGACTGCTGCTGGGTCAAGAACTCTCCACTGTGCTGCCTGTCCCCCCCAATACACGCACTGGGGCTCCACACTGAGTAGCTGGTGCCTCCTATGATGCTTCTGTGGTCCAGGAACATCTGTGGTTGGTGCCAGACCATGTATGTTGCCGGACCAGGGAGCTCTGGTTAAGGGAGGTACAAGCTGTACTTGCACGCTAAGAAAAAGAATTTGCAAGCCTTTATGTAACAGAGATACTTGTTGATTCCTGCCCTAACAATGCAGTGCAGTCCCATAAAAGGGGAGGAACGGGAAGCAGAGCAAAGGGTATAACTCTCTTGGGTCATCACCACACAGATCCACGGAGGGAAACATGAGGCTTTAATTAAAATAAAAGTTAACTGCTAGAATAGCTGGAATAACTTCTGGAACACAAGAAGTAAACCCTGCGTCTTAGCCACTTCTTCAGTTTGCAGAAGGGATGTGCCAATTAGCAAATATCTCATGGCTACTTTCTAGAAACAAATTCCATTGTCCCGCTTTTTCCTCATAGCCAACTCAGTGCCAATAAATCCAAGTATGATACAGGCTTTTGGGAAGGTGTCCAGACATCTCTTTTATTTTCTTTTTATATTGGCACCCAGTCGTCCACTGCCTCACTGGGATGTTAAAACATCACAGCTGAGCTGTGACAGCAATACCCTTTTCTTTATCGCCAGCTGTTAATTCACACAAAAGTAAATGCAGGAAAGGTTGAGTTGACCACTGAAATGATTGGCTGTCATAATGGGAAAATCCAAGAAGCACATAATTGTTATGGGACAACATTTGAAGTATTTAGACAGAAATCTCAGCTGACCACACTCTAAAGCAACATGTTCTCAGCTTAGCTTTAGACAGAAATGTTCCTCAACTTTGCTTGTTAGGTTATGTAAGTTTAGCATGAATTACACAAAACTG